GGGGGGGGGGGTCTATGGTGAGAAAATCTATGATTTTTGAATTGCACGTGGTGAGACTCCGGAGCTACAAAAGCTAGTTCGAAAGGCAGCATTGAAAACAGCCAACGTTTTTTGGCTAGCACGGGCAATTGCCATTTCAGCTCTTTTCTTAGACGTGACTTCTAATTAGAGTTTTGCAGTCAAGAGTAATCATTATAAGAACTGTCCAGCCCGCAAAAGCAATTACTTTTACAAAAACAATCATAAAATGGAATGAATGGTAATTAATTAGTAAAGCTATTATCTTATCAATGATGAGTATAAAGACATATTCACCATATTCACATTAGATAGTCACCTCTGAAGCGAACAACTATTGAAGCCTTATATATGGAGACATTACTTTAGGGCCTTTGGAGTTTCCTCCATTCAGAAGGCACAAATGCAAACCAAACCATCCGTGCGAGGACTAAGTAAACATTCAATATGCACATATATATTTACATTCACATGAATTATAATATCTAAGCAGCTTGTGGGTATCTCCACTGGCATGGATTGACTAGGATTAATACACAGATTATGGCTATTAGGCTGTGGGAAGACAAGAAAACATGAAACCTTTTAAGAAAATTAACTGACCCTGCAGCGAGGTTATCTATGATATTTCCATAAAGATTTGGCATGACCATGACATCGAATTGTTCGGGTTTTGACACCAGCTGCATGCATGTATTGTCAATAATCATGGAATCAAACTCAATCTTCGGGTACTGGGTGGCAATCTAGAAGCGATGGGTAGCAATCAAAAAAAAGAATATCTTTCAGGAGAAACGGAAAAAACTGTGATAAAATGAAAGTGGAAAAAGGATGCGACACATACTTCTTCACATGTTTTCAAGAATAATCCATCTCCTAACTTCATAATGTTCGCCTTGTGAACAGCGGTCACCTGAAACAGACTAATCGATAATCATCTGATCCTGTAGCATGTACGGGAACACTCCTTGACACTGATGAACTTTGCCTTGAAATTATGAATTTGGTGAGAAATCGTCACGCTACACATCAGGTAGCTCACCAGGACTATGGACCGAGAAAATGTTTGAATTGGAAATCCTTATACAAACGAAAATACATGCGTTTCGCTTCAAAATGTATTTTCGTAAACTCCAATAAAAAACGATCAAATTCAACAGAATACCTGAACAGAAAACTCTTTGAGAATTGAAATTCGGTCAGAAAGTTTAAAAATTGCATGAATCACACGAAACTTACCTTTTTTCTACCATGCTTGGTTGCATAATCGAAAGCGAACTTTGCTATGCGTTGACATTTCTCTCTTGTGGAAATCTTGAGACATTCTATTACACCTGAATAGGGCACAACACATTTAAAGGCCCACTCCATCAGGAAAGCCATTTCAAAATTGAAAAAGAAAATTATCAAGAGCAAATACAAAGACGGATGGAAAGCTATCAAAGATGATACATCAATTCATGCAACGAGAATGTTTTCGGGATTTAAAAAGAAAGAACACTCGCCTGGAACTAGCTCATGCTCCAAACTAGAATACTCTCCTTCAGTTTGTTCTCGAACAATGACAAAATCGAGTTTCTTTCCGTGGCGAGTTTTGATACCATCCAATGACTATAAATGAACCAATGAAGAAATCTGAAGGCCGGATACAAAGTATAATCGCGATAGGATATTCTATCGTCGAACACATCAGAGCGCATTCAATGAAGATTCCGAAATATCGCTCGAAATAGTTCTGCATAAACAGAAAAAAGAAGGCTGCGATTAAAGCTCTCCCTCCCCCCCTATTTCACAAAAAAAGAGTTAGTGTAAAACGAAAAGAGTATATGTGATGCATAAAAAGCACCGTTGTGCGAACAAGTCATATCAACAAGTTGAGAATAACCTTCCGGAAGGCTCAGCAGGACAGGAATATTATAGGAATAGCAGAAAGCCGATGTTCAAATTCCATTAACCGGAAAGGGACCGTTACGAGTGGAAAATGTGTAGAGGCGAGAAGTTCTCCTCCCTCACATATACTGTGTAAAGCTATCAGAGGCTTTACGATAAAACTCAAGCGCCGAAACTCGTATAAACTCAGTTATTACGGAACGGGCCTAGAATTTTGAAGCTGTCAGATACGGAAATGAATTTCCATTTAATTTGATTTTTCAGTCTAATTTGGTGGCCTATTTATCTGAATAAGAGGAACTGCGATAACCCGAATTATGGAATCTGCTATTAAATCTAACAAATGAGTACAAAATGAAAAAGCAAGGAGATCATGAAAACAGAACAATATAAAACAAAGGGGAAGGAATGAGATATGTACCTTGATGTGCACAACATTAGCAAACAGATCAAGAGCTCTACGAAGCCGCATGTTGAGTCCACTTAGTTCTCCTTCGGTATGAAGAACAGCAGATTCTTGAATCGCACCTAAAAAAAANNAAAAAAAAGAACTATTCGGCAAAATAAATCATTTACATCTGAAAATATAGCAGAATGACGCACCCTTGAGAGCAACGTTGTTGTTACGAGCAATTGACATGACTGCATTTTCTATTGATGACGATCGAGTGTAGTGTACTTCGGAGAGGAACACCTCTGAAATACATCAGATTTAAGAGGAAAAGCTGTACCTAATAACTTCACTGGTGAAAGGCGCTGCTTGAAGCAGTCACCGGAAAATGCAGCAGTCTAGCATCAAAAAGAAGAAAAGCATATTATGCCTCACGGGCAGCGCTTTTCTCAGTCGTTTGAAGAGTACGAAAGCATGAACAGAGAAAGATGGGGAATGCACACCGAACTCACGCACATGAAGAGAAACCCATCCAGGAGATCCCTCTCCCTTGTACTCATAGGTTGTACGAAAAGCATCTGCCAAACCTTTCACAATAGGTCAGATTTCTCAAGAAAACTCTGGAATCGAGGTTCATCTTCAATCTACTCGTAGAATCGCAGGGTTCAAAATAGGCCTGAACAGAACTGCTCGAAAGGTCTCTGAGGCAAATTCTGTAACACTACCTTCGACGAGCATCACCAGCGGGATAGCCGGATCCGAACTCCCAAACAAGGTGTTGAACATGGGAAGAAAAATCGGTCGAATTTTTGTTCAATTAGCAACGAAGAAGTATCCGGATATATTATTCATAGGTAGCCTACTTACATGGAAACCCCGTGAAAGGTTCCCAGAAACCGTTGGCAAAATCTGGACCATCGCAAAAAATTCGGCAGATATTTACCTTCCAACCCAGTAGTATTGAGAGTTACTGTGAGAAAAACTGGATTGTAAAATTGGAAAGAAAATTATGACACTAATGGCCAACCAACGGATAAGCAAAGCACACCGAATACACTCGAACCAAGCTTGCATCTAGCAATTTACCAGCGCTATTAATTTAACGTTTTCTTTCTTACTTGGAAAAGTAGTTAGAACATTTAGAAGCCGATATTTTATCGCTAAACAATATCAACATGAAGATAAATAAGTTTAGAGTAATACGTAATATAGAAACTGTAATCAAATTGAAACACTATAAAAATTAGATTACCTTCAAAATCAAGTGGTATTCCCGTATTTTTGACGATATCTTGCACAGTGTAAATAAGTTCTGGTCCAACACCATCACCAGGAATTATGGTTACCTTTGAAAGGAAGGAAAGGTGCATATGTCAATCAGATAAAAAGCACACCATCAAAATTATAAAGAATACCTTCAGCTTATGAGCAGCTGCCTGTATGGGTACTGCAGCGGTAACAGCAAAACGTTGAGCATTCAGCAGTTGATTACCAGCTCGCGCTGATGATACTACCATACGGGAAAGCATCCTGAAATCCATCGAGTTTGTTATAAACACAGACCACGTTGATTGCGAAGACCAATGGGTAAACTTAAATGACCCTTTGAAACCTAACTATTGATGTTTATTAAGTAAAAAAGCTTCAATGCGGTGTAGTGAAACAGTTCCTTTATAAGCGCGCTGTCGCGGCGCGCGCTGTTAGTAGAGCAGTTTATCTGGTCCACCCACGTTGATAACATTAGAAACGAGTCAGTGTGAAATTAAAAACCATTGCTTTCACTTATCAAAGCGAGTGATCGATCCATTCTATCTCTCCGGGCTTTTATCTGTTTAAAAGCAGCTCATAAAACTTACCAATAAGTTCTATATGAAGCATGTAGCATAAAGTGTGTGAAAATATAGTTACATTTAAATATCATCCATTATCATGGAACAAGTCTGGAACC